GGTTGGGGTAGGCTGTGGACAAGTACATTTCCTGGCCCTGCATGAGCACCAAGTACTATTTCCTCTAATCGCCTTGGGTGAATCTTTCCATTCCCAGGTAGTTTGTCATGTGCATACCCTCCTCAGTACTTTCCTGAACATATAAAGGGAACCCTCTACAGGTCTCTGGACTTCTCTTTCTGATGCGTTCTCTCTCTCCCCTCTCCAGTACTCTGTCCTGCAAGCTCTAGCCACCCAAGCCGCTCAAGCTGTCAGTATCCTCAACTCAGGGACTTCACCAGGCTCTCCCTCCATTTCCTTCCCTATGCCACGGCCTGGGAACTTTCTCCTGGCAGTCAGCTGAGGCAGTCATAGCACTCACTGTGCTTGTTTTCCATCTCTCAGTGAATACTAGCCTTCACTGCCTAATGGCACTCTCAAAAATTATTGTTCTATATATTTTGTACACTTTCTAAGTTGTCTCAAGCAGAAGGGTAAGTCTAGTCCCTGTTACTCCATCTTGGCTGGAAGCAGAAATTTGACAAATTGATTTATCATAATGTTATGTAAATACCTTCAAATAAAAGTTACAAAACCCTTCTATATATAACTTCAATACAACTAAAAAGTTGTTAAAGTTTATAAATTATAATCAAATGCAAAAATGAGTAACATTCAAATTAATTACATTAAATTAACTAATGTGATTTGGTTTAAACTAGGCATTGTATTAATTGCTCTAGTCCAGGTTTGTTTTAGTTTGGCTGTGGCGACTCACTTCTCTCATTAGTTCTCAGTGTTTGACTTACTGAAAAACATTCATCTGTACTATACCCCATGATGTTATGCAGCCTCCACTTAGAAGTCTACTGTTCTCTTCGGTGCAATTATACATGCAGCTGTAAATACTGACATTTTATAATGGTATTTGGCTATAAAATTGGCACCCAGGTGATCCTGAATATGCTTACATTACTTTTTTAAATAATCACTGAATTGGAAAAATAAAATTTTTCAAATTGTGTTGAACATGCAGTTTGATATACACTGTTCCAACACAAGACAATAAAACCTTTATCAGGTTGGTAGCCACACTGAAGAGATTCACAACATATTTGAGCCAAGAGAATTCCTGAGAGAAAACCTCTACTTTAAGATGATTGGTAACGGGGAGAAAAAGGGTGTGAAGTTGTGATGAACTAAAAAAATACCTGCAAGGGAAAGGTGGGGAAACTCTAAGACAATAACCAAAATGCCTGCCAGAAAAAAAGCACAGGGTAAAAAAGTGAGTGTGACACCAGATCAATTATAAAGGAGGTAAGTAGGAAGGAGAGAGGAACCTTACAGAAGATTCCCAAGAGTATCACTGACAGAAAAAACAAAAATAAGGAAACAAGGAAAAACTAGATTTTCCAAGATTTTTATAAGTAACAAAAGTGACAGAAAAAGCAGTATCTCTAGAGCAGGATGTGAGAAGACACACCAACCCAAGAACTGAGGAAAAATCAGTGCTGCTTTTACCAGCAGAGTACAGATTTGGATCACAAACAGGATGGAATCAAGTTCTTTCCAAGGAGTCAAGGTGAGTTTTTCAGCCCTGCCTTGGACCAGCCTGTCTGGGAACAAAGTCACCAGGGTCCCAAATACAAGAATTCAGCAAGATAGCAAAAAGAAGACACTATATGGTACTTCCTTTCTGCAGGAGACTTCAATTCAGTTTCAAGATCTGGCCTGTGGAGCTATGTATCTGCGTCTGGTTTTGAGTGCTCTCCTGGTTTGACCTGTGACTTTTCCATGACCCCTGACTCTCATGAACTTTTTCCCACTTTGTGCCTTCCACTTTCTAATGTGCTTCATTCATGGCTTTTTCACTGGCTTCCTTGAACCTGGTGTACTTATTTACTGTCTGCTTCCCCTTGATTCAGTGATACTACCTGCCACCTCCCAGGGTGAGGGAAAGTCCCCCAGGGAACAGAAAGGAGGCAGTATGGAAAGTGGGGAAAGGGTCACCAGAGTAACCATACTCACAAGGGTGAGGTCCTTGGAGACTGAAGAGCTAAGTGGAATGCTAAGTAGAGCATTTGTTTAGTACTTCAAACCTGCAAGTCTATTGGGCAAGTATGCAAAACTGAGATTTAATAACTATGCAAAGCCAACTGAGTATGAAGTACACTTCAGAAAAAACTCAACTATGGGGTGTTTGTGTCTCAGAATCCCCACTATGCAATTGAAGTGAGTTGTCTACATAATCCTAAACAATGTATGTTGGAGTGGAAGTGGGGGTTAGAAAAGTGAGAGAAAATAGGAAAAGCAGGATTGCAGATTTCTGATCTTTGATAGGAAAATCTTTCCCCATTGTTTTCTTTGGTGGGGGAAATCTGAGACACCTCAAGGGAGCTGAAGTGCCATGCCCAATTTTAGCTCAAAGGCTCCTTAGGAATTTAGCATCATTCACTCTTCATACACCCTACTTTGGAGCTGTTAACTTCAGGGTCAGTGTGACAGAACTCTAGTTTCCCATCATTGAACACCTTTTCCATGAAGAAAGTCCACTGAGGATATTCACAGGGTTTGTCTGATAAGGCTGCACTTAGGGGGACAGGTCCAAACATTGCCTTTAGTTCAGGAGACCCTACAGCTTCACCATGTATCTCATTTTATCTTACACAATCACTGTCATTATTCAATTTAGGAATATATTAATTAGTAATAAATTTTCTGCCCAAGGAAGCAGAATTTAATGGATTTTATCTCAACATTGTGATTATGTTTTCTGCAAGTATCTGAATGTTTTCAATTTTTAGTTTATAGTAGTAGACATATCATCCTAGTAAAATATACAAAGATTTTTAGAACTGGAAAGAATGTCAAAGATTGTAGTCCCCTTTATAAAAGAACTGAGGTCTATAATGGTTAAGTATTTTATGGAGTCATACTCCAGGTGGCGCTCAAAAACATTCCCATGAAAATCCCAAGGCTCAGTGAGCTTCCTTAATTCACCTGAAGCCCACAACTAATTAAGTGACGACACCAGTATTCAGACTCAAAGCTATGTGTCTCCCCTGGCTTTGGAGGCAGCTGTGCTATGAATGTGAAAGAGCAATCTGATACCAGCACACATTATGTGGGGTAGCTTTTCTCATGCAGGTACCAAGCTGTTCTGCACACCTGGATTGGTAATGTGAGTGCATTGACCTGTTACATTTTGAATCAATGCTACACAAAGGCAAAAAGTATTTTGCATTGTCTTTCTACTTGTGTTTCTGGAATCTGATCCAACTGACAAGAGAGTAACAACTTGTACCTGTTATTTCCCCATTTCTTACTTGATCTTCCAGGTTTCTCTGCAGCCTGGCAGTCTCCTGGAAAATCCAAAAAGCAGTGTTCTTCAAAGGACCACCTAAACAAGGGTCATTTGCTTGGAGGTCCTTTTAAAAATATAGATTCTTGGTAATTTCAGAACTACCCAATCAGAATTGCCTGGGCAGAGGGGTGGACTGGGAGTTTGCACTTTAAACGTCTTCCTGAAGATGCTCATGTACACTGGTTTGAGAATCACTAAGATTATAGAGAACTGTTGACTGAAATGCAAGTCTGTGCTGAGTGCTTGGAAAATAATAGGACTGAAGTCATGATTAAAGTAGAGTAGCCTCCAAGCATTCTCTTCTTAGTCAGGAAACGCTTTCAGGAAGGCATTTTAAAAGCTGTCTTTGTTTTTTATCATTTATTTTAGTATAATATTCCAGATGCATAATTTGGAAATTAAGGAAAAATTTATGCATGTGTATATATGTATATATATACACATATACATATATACACACATTTACACACACACACACACACACACTAATTCCCATCAGACAGCTACTTTTAACATTTTGATATATTACCTTCCTACGATTTTTTAAAAAAGAATGCTGCCTTTTCCTTAGGATAACTTAGAAACAAGCTCTTCGGTCAGAAGTCAAGCCTCCATTAACACAAGGATCATCATCTTGGCAGAAGCACCATGGCCAGAGAAGGCAAATCCAAATAAATCCTTGAATAGCTCTTTCCAGTGAGGACAAAGTGCTGCCTCCATTGTGACCCACCTGCCACGAGGTAGTTTTCTGGTCTCTCAGGGAAAATGCCGTGTAGAGGGCTCAGCATCAGTCCCTGCCACTGGCAGGGTAGGCACTCAGCAGGCAGGCAGGCAGCCGGACCAGCAGTGCAGGGGAATCCGTGTTTTTGGGCCCACACATAACCTTCAACCCCACCACTGTGGCCACTAAGCATGCACTCAGGTTACCACAGAAAGTGGCTGTCATCCAGAAAAGGTTATTTTGTCCACCTGTTATTGAAAATCTCCTCTATGTGATGTCCTTAGTTGAGTATTCACGTGGGATACAATTTTTTTCACACCCCATTCTCATTTTGAAAGTTTCATCCACATATCTGTGCCCCCCATCATCTTTGTCTCTAATCTGCCAAACCTTTTTTTCTGAGTCCCCATTTCAACCAAACTGCCAGTCATGGTATATTTGCACTTATCATCTCTCAATCCAGACAAAGTGGACAACCAAATGTATTGCTCCAAAAGTTCTGCCACCGGACTTTCCATCTTGCTGGGCCACCCCTGAATGGGTTTGAAATGCTGCAGCCATCTGCTCCAGCTGATGCCAACCCACTGTACAAACCCATCTATAAACGACGCCTTGCTCTTTCTTGCTCTGTCGGCTGGTGATGGGGAGATGCCTCCCAGAGCCATAGGCTGATAGGGAGGCAGCATCGCAGCAGGAGTAGATGCTGCAGGAGAGTGGGCCACTTCTCATGCAACATGCTCACATCTTCAGGAGCTGCTTGTGCCTAATTTTATTTGTTTTTCCAGCTGATGTTAGATTGCTGATGCCTTCAGCCAACTTTTTATCTTGGTGGTTCAGAAAGCAACCAGTGCATCAGGGGAAGCTCAGGCCTTGTGAACTCTATAGATGTTCCTGATCAGTTCAGTCTCTGCCAGAGACCCATAGCAAACCAAGACGTTCTGAAAATAATAGTTATTTATTCCAAAACCCTAATGGTCTGTGTTTGTTACTATGACTGTTGTAGGCATCCTCCAAAAGGTCTCCAATGAGCCCCACCTTCTGCTACTCATGACCTTGAATACTTCCGTCCCTTTGGGTATAAGCTAGACTAGCGGCTTGCTTCTAATGAGCAGAGTATGGCGTAAGAGATGGGTTATCACTTCTGAGATAGGTTACCAAATGCGGCTTCCATTTTGGGGGCTTTCTCTTGCTCACTCTCTCTTTTGTTCCCTCTCTCCACTCACACTGGGGAAAGCAAACTGTCTTGTTATGAGAAGCCCTGTGGAAAGGGCCATGTAGCACAGCAAGTAACTGAAGCTGAGTTTACCAGCTTGGGAGGAGCTGAAGCTTGCTAACCTGAGTGAGGTTGGAAGTGGATCCTTCAATACCATCCAAGTCTTGAGATGAATGTAGTTCTACCCAGTGGCTTGGACTGATTGCAACCTCATGAGATATCATAAGCCAGAACCACTCAGCTAAGCTGTTCCTGTATCCTAACCAAAAGAAACTGTGAAATAATGTTTGTTGCTTTAAGCTGTTAAGTTCTGAAGCAATCTTCTATGCATTAACAGATAATATGACTTACAGATGTTCTACATAATGTTTCAGATCTAGGAACTCTTTTCCCAGCTAAAGAATTATACCAGTGATCTCATTCCCAAGAATGTACTGGTCTTGCCAGGTATGACATCCCTCAGAAGCAACAGGGCTGGCAAAACAATTGAAGATTGAGTTACAGTGCCAGTGGGGAAGCACCACTCTTAAAGGTTATAGCACTATCCTATAAGATGTGGGCTATTCTTGGGACCAGGGACTAATACATGGTATTCTTTTTCTCATAGCCAGAATATATGGGGGTATTAAATGGATAGAAGTGGAAATGGCTCCACCACTATTAGTTAATTACAACCCCCCAGATTTTGTTTCCCATCCCTATAACTTTGATTACTGTTAACTTAGGGGTTTTCATTCCCAAAGGAGTAATGTTTCCACCAGATGTCACAATGGCTCAAATGAATAGGAAGATGAGACTCAGACTGGCCGTATGGAGCTTATCCTGCATTGAAATAACCAAGAAGGGATTTTTTGTTGTTGTTGGGGCAATTGCTTCCAGTTATTAAGGGTAAGTTGAATGTCTATAATACTGGAGGTAGAGAGGATTACCATGTCTAGAACCTAAGGCATTCTCTGAGGTACCTCTGAGTACTCTCAAGCCCTACAGTAAGAGTTAAGACAAAACTACAGCAACACACTGAAGACACCACTATGATTTAGACCCTCTGGGAGTGAAGGTTTGGATTACTGCCCCCAGGAAAAGAATCCTGACTAGCTGCAATGCCAGGTGAAGGTAAAGGGAACACAGCATCTGTAGCAGATATGAGTACACAGAACTGTAGCCGTTATGCAAGCTTTCTTCCTTGCCTGTCATGTATACAGTGATGTATACTTACTTAGTTTTCCTCTCCCCTTTATCCTTCCTCTCTATTTTATATAAGGACTATTACTGGTTATTAACTTTGCAATTGAGTCTGTATGTCACAGAATAGGTGGAACTGAGTAAAATAGACAATAACATCACCTAGGGATGGCCATGGTGACTACTGGGATTTGGGGCCTCTCTTTTGAGAAAAAGGATGAAATATCTTTGTAAAAGAGAATAGTTTTATAGTGTAAGACAAAAGCAAAAAGGTATTACCGCTTTTGTAAGCTACAAGTACACAAATGGACGCTGAATGACCAAAAGGATAGATTCTACTGGCTATTTACTGTCTCTCAGCTCCAAGCACCCCCCTTTTATTCATGATGTTTGTGTGTGTGAATTATAATTCCCAGACTCCCTCACCAATTGGCTTCTGGTTAGGTTCTGCAGAAGGGAAGGCCTGGGTAGAGCTTGAAGAGGGAGAAAGGACACTTCCAGCCCCCAGTTCTTGTCAGGACTGCTCTAGCAGTAGCAAACTAGCTCTGAGCTTCTTCCAGCTGGCTCTGTCCCATTCCCTGCTCTGTCCTCTTGGCAGGAGGAATGTTAGGCCCACTGTGTTACTCACCTGCTGGACATGCCACTTATACTATCCAAGCACTGCCAGGTTGCATCCCCCTCCCTTACAAGTCTAAGTACCAGCTGCAATGCTCCTGGGGTCTGATCAGCAGCTAAAAAATACCCCTTCTTAAAAGATTTTGTCATCAGTCCCAGAGAAACCCTCCTTCAACCTTGCAGGTTCTGGTAACACCACTTGTATTAGTGAGAGTCCTCCAGAGAAATAGAACCAATAGGAGATATATCTACATATCTATATCTATCTACCTATGTGAGATATACATTTATTGTAAGTATTGCTTCATGTGATTATGGAGGCTGAAAAGTCCCAGGATCTGCCATCTGAAGCTGGGGACCCAGGAAGGCCAGTGGTATAGTTTGAAGGCCCGAGAGCTGGAGAGCCAATGGTCCAAGACTCCAGTCTGGGTCTGAAGGCCTGCGAACCAAATGCACCAGGGGCAGAAGACTGACATCCCAGTCACATAGAGGGAATTCAACCTTCTACCTCCTTTTTGTTCTATTCATGTCTTCAAAGGATTGGATGAGGCCCACCACATTGGGAACGGCCATCTTCTTTACTCAGTTCACCAATTCAAATAACAGTCTCTTCTGGAAACACCTTTATAAACACACAAAGAAATACTGTTTAACCAGATACCTGGGCATCAGAATTTTTCATTATAAGTTTCAATAGTTAGAGCAAAGGGTTTCACTTCCATGTTGTAAATATTGCCATTTTAAAGTAAAACTACTCCATCATTCTCATATTTATCCACTGAACTCTGAATACCATAGCCGTTTGATACCCAACATCTCCTTTCCACTTCCCCCACAATTTTGTAATACATTTTTTGCTTAAAAGTTCACTTTGTCATATCGCTCTGATAAAAATATGCATATTAATTTGAATTAAGTTTGAAATTTTTCAATGAATGGAAGAATCTTAAAAATGTTTTAAATTTCTCCTGGGTTAATTAATTATAATTAGTATTACTATAAACTTGAGGATAACAAATATATGTTTTGAAGTCTTATTAAATACGAAAGTACAATTTTATGAACATATATTTCTTAATATCGATACCTTAAAAAAATCAGATCATGTATCTATAGAATATTGTTAATGACTCAGATGAGACAGAGCTCACTAGAAATCATTAGAAAAAAGGTTATCAAGCAAGTGTGAAGTTTAAATATATTCAACCTCATGAGATATCATAAGCCAGAACCACTCAGCTAAGCTGTTCCTGTATCCTAACCAAAAGAAACTGTGAAATAATGTTTGTTGCTTTAAGCTGTTAAGTTCTGAAGCAATCTTCTATGCATTAACAGATAATATGACTTACAGATGTTCTACATAATATGTTTCAGATCTAGGAACTCTTTTCCCAGCTAAAGAATTATACCAGTGATCTCATTCCCAAGAATGTACTGGTCTTGCCAGGTATGACATCCCTCAGAAGCAACAGGGCTGGCAAAACAATTGAAGATTGAGTTACAGTGCCAGTGGGGAAGCACCACTCTTAAAGGTTATAGCACTATCCTATAAGATGTGGGCTATTCTTGGGACCAGGGACTAATACATGGTATTCTTTTTCTCATAGCCAGAATATATGGGGGTATTAAATGGATAGAAGTGGAAATGGCTCCACCACTATTAGTTAATTACAACCCCCCAGATTTTGTTTCCCATCCCTATAACTTTGATTACTGTTAACTTAGGGGTTTTCATTCCCAAAGGAGTAATGTTTCCACCAGATGTCACAATGGCTCAAATGAATAGGAAGATGAGACTCAGACTGGCCGTATGGAGCTTATCCTGCATTGAAATAACCAAGAAGGGATTTTTTGTTGTTGTTGGGGCAATTGCTTCCAGTTATTAAGGGTAAGTTGAATGTCTATAATACTGGAGGTAGAGAGGATTACCATGTCTAGAACCTAAGGCATTCTCTGAGGTACCTCTGAGTACTCTCAAGCCCTACAGTAAGAGTTAAGACAAAACTACAGCAACACACTGAAGACACCACTATGATTTAGACCCTCTGGGAGTGAAGGTTTGGATTACTGCCCCCAGGAAAAGAATCCTGACTAGCTGCAATGCCAGGTGAAGGTAAAGGGAACACAGCATCTGTAGCAGATATGAGTACACAGAACTGTAGCCGTTATGCAAGCTTTCTTCCTTGCCTGTCATGTATACAGTGATGTATACTTACTTAGTTTTCCTCTCCCCTTTATCCTTCCTCTCTATTTTATATAAGGACTATTACTGGTTATTAACTTTGCAATTGAGTCTGTATGTCACAGAATAGGTGGAACTGAGTAAAATAGACAATAACATCACCTAGGGATGGCCATGGTGACTACTGGGATTTGGGGCCTCTCTTTTGAGAAAAAGGATGAAATATCTTTGTAAAAGAGAATAGTTTTATAGTGTAAGACAAAAGCAAAAAGGTATTACCGCTTTTGTAAGCTACAAGTACACAAATGGACGCTGAATGACCAAAAGGATAGATTCTACTGGCTATTTACTGTCTCTCAGCTCCAAGCACCCCCCTTTTATTCATGATGTTTGTGTGTGTGAATTATAATTCCCAGACTCCCTCACCAATTGGCTTCTGGTTAGGTTCTGCAGAAGGGAAGGCCTGGGTAGAGCTTGAAGAGGGAGAAAGGACACTTCCAGCCCCCAGTTCTTGTCAGGACTGCTCTAGCAGTAGCAAACTAGCTCTGAGCTTCTTCCAGCTGGCTCTGTCCCATTCCCTGCTCTGTCCTCTTGGCAGGAGGAATGTTAGGCCCACTGTGTTACTCACCTGCTGGACATGCCACTTATACTATCCAAGCACTGCCAGGTTGCATCCCCCTCCCTTACAAGTCTAAGTACCAGCTGCAATGCTCCTGGGGTCTGATCAGCAGCTAAAAAATACCCCTTCTTAAAAGATTTTGTCATCAGTCCCAGAGAAACCCTCCTTCAACCTTGCAGGTTCTGGTAACACCACTTGTATTAGTGAGAGTCCTCCAGAGAAATAGAACCAATAGGAGATATATCTACATATCTATATCTATCTACCTATGTGAGATATACATTTATTGTAAGTATTGCTTCATGTGATTATGGAGGCTGAAAAGTCCCAGGATCTGCCATCTGAAGCTGGGGACCCAGGAAGGCCAGTGGTATAGTTTGAAGGCCCGAGAGCTGGAGAGCCAATGGTCCAAGACTCCAGTCTGGGTCTGAAGGCCTGCGAACCAAATGCACCAGGGGCAGAAGACTGACATCCCAGTCACATAGAGGGAATTCAACCTTCTACCTCCTTTTTGTTCTATTCATGTCTTCAAAGGATTGGATGAGGCCCACCACATTGGGAACGGCCATCTTCTTTACTCAGTTCACCAATTCAAATAACAGTCTCTTCTGGAAACACCTTTATAAACACACAAAGAAATACTGTTTAACCAGATACCTGGGCATCAGAATTTTTCATTATAAGTTTCAATAGTTAGAGCAAAGGGTTTCACTTCCATGTTGTAAATATTGCCATTTTAAAGTAAAACTACTCCATCATTCTCATATTTATCCACTGAACTCTGAATACCATAGCCGTTTGATACCCAACATCTCCTTTCCACTTCCCCCACAATTTTGTAATACATTTTTTGCTTAAAAGTTCACTTTGTCATATCGCTCTGATAAAAATATGCATATTAATTTGAATTAAGTTTGAAATTTTTCAATGAATGGAAGAATCTTAAAAATGTTTTAAATTTCTCCTGGGTTAATTAATTATAATTAGTATTACTATAAACTTGAGGATAACAAATATATGTTTTGAAGTCTTATTAAATACGAAAGTACAATTTTATGAACATATATTTCTTAATATCGATACCTTAAAAAAATCAGATCATGTATCTATAGAATATTGTTAATGACTCAGATGAGACAGAGCTCACTAGAAATCATTAGAAAAAAGGTTATCAAGCAAGTGTGAAGTTTAAATATATATATTTATAGTTGTGTGCACTATTTACAGAATATTACATTCCACCTGGTAGGGATGACTAGAAAGCAAAGAAGCAATTCATAATTCTTACTAAGCAGCAAACTCCCAAGGTTTAAAAAAAAAATAGATTTAAAATTTTCCAGTAGCCTTTTGGCAATGCTAATGAAAATATTTTTCCTAATAATCAGAAAAATAAGTTTTATTTAAAGATGTAATGTTGATCTGTAGAAAGAAAACACTGAAGTTTTCACCTTACTTAAAAATATGCAAACATGTAAAATAACATGTGGGTTTATTATCTTAGTTTAAGTAGGCCTTTCAGATATTTCAAACTGTTCCTTTGTTTGGTGACTTAGAGATTTTCTTATACTGTTAGGAAGGTAACACTGTAAAAATAGGATGGGTAAAAAATAAACTTTTATTTGGTAAAGAAGAATGGCTATTGTGAAAGAGAAGCAAAAAAGGAGAATCTGCAAAGTTCAACCGTGGCAGCAGGCAACTCAATTTTAGGAGGAAGTACACATTTAAGTAAAGAAATCTGGGAACTGACTCCCAGAAAAAGGTGGTGGATAAGGAAGGCAAGGCAGAAACCTCCTGCCAAAAACACATAAAAGAAGGAAATAGGGCAAATACAACTAAACCTGAAAATGGCCTGAAGATTGCAGGACAGAACACCTACACCCGGGGAAGCAGAGAGGACCACACAGAGAAAGGCAAAGTGGCAGAGCTGAGATCAAGCAGAACCCAAGCCCGTCCCCAACCCCAGCCCACAGACAGGACAAAGAGGAAGGGAGCAGGAGCAGGTAGGAACCCAGGAGCGCTGCACACCTGGCCCTGGAGATCTGCCCCAGGAGCACAAACCCACATTACACTGGGTTCTGGCGATGAGTGGGACTGGACACCAGGGACAGGTGGAACACTCTGGGAGGCTGAGACCCCAGCCAGTGTGGAGGGCGGGCACGCTCCACCAATCCTGAGACCCAAAGCAGAGGTGGCAGTTTGAAAGACTTGCCAGCACTAGGAGTTGCCAGAGGGGCGAGGATTGGATGGAACTCAATCCTCAGGAGAAAAGGTACATGGGGGATACTTCCCAGCTCTTCCTCTGCCCAAGAGATTGGGAACTCTCCGGAGCCCCAGATGTTCCATTGCCCTCTCTGGCTACACAGCCCTGAGGCGCCTCCCTGTGTGCACTGATGGGAGCCAACCCACATGGCCCAGCAGCAGTGTCAGACTTTGCTGCCTGGCAGACAGCAGCAGACTCTCCCAGATTCCTTGGCTTTGTTTCAGCCCAACGGGAGAGGTGCCTGCAGGAGCCAGTCCCAAGAGCTCCTTCCTCCCCACAAGTGTCCAAGCCCGGTGATGCATGTCTGGCCAAGAAAGAGCCACACATCAGCCCCCCACCCCATTATCCCTGCAGCTCCACCATTGCTGCAGGTCAGGAAGAGGGTGGTCCTGCCCACAGCAAGCTCAACAGACTCTTGAGCTGATCACAGACAAAGCAGCTGAAGCAAACTGCCAGCACAGACAGAAAGACACCGTGCCCACTGCATGGCAACAGCTGGAGCCCCCACAAAATAGAACCAGGCACTAGAGAGTAAAGAATCTTGAGCTTCTGGGCACCACAGGATATCTTTTTCATAAAGCTACTACTCTACAGGACAGGAAGCATAGCAGAGCTATCTAATACAAGGGAAAAACACAGAATCCCTGACAAATGAGCAGGCAGAGGAATATGATCCAACAAAATTAAAGGACAGAACCCCAGAAAGAGGCCAAATGAAACAGAGATCACCAATCTGGTTGATAAATATTTCAAAATAAAAGTCATAAACATGCTCACAAATTTACAGAAAAGTATTCAAGATCTCAGAGATGACTTCAACAAAGAGACAGAAGACCTGAAAAGGAGCCACTCAGAGCTGAAGAACACAATATCTGAAATGACACATACAATGGAGGGATTTAGGAGTAGATTTTTAGTGTAGGTAGAGGATACGGTGAATGAGTTAGAAATTAAAAAACAGGGAAACAAAGAAGCTGAAGAACAGAGAGAAAAAAGGACCTCTAGGAATGAAAGAATGATAAGAGAGCTATATGACCAATCCAAATGAAACAATAATAGGGTACCAGAAGAGGAGAAAGAAAGGGATAGAAGGTCCCTTTAAGGAAACAATTGAAAAGGTCCCCAATTTAGGGAAGGAAATAGATACTCAGATCATGGAAGTACAGACATCACCTAATGAAAGGAACCCCAGTTAGACAGCATCAAGACATATAATAATTAAAACAGCCAAGATCAAGAATAAGGAAAGAATACCTAAAGCAGCCAGAGAGATAAAAAAGATTACTTATAAAGGAAATCCCATCAGGCTATCAGCGGCTTTCTCAGCAGAAACTCTACAGGCCAGAAGGGAGTGGCATGATACATTAAATGTACTGAGACAGAAGGACCTCCAATGAAGAATCCTCTACCTGGCAAGATTATCATTTAAATTTGAAGCAGATATTAAACAATTTCCAGACAAAAGTTGATAAGACAGCCGTACAAGATATGCTAAAGGGAATACTGAAGATGGAAATGTCCTTAAGGCTAAATAATCTCCCATCAGTGAAAATAAACCCACAGTAAAAGTTGTAGACCAACTAATTACCAAGCAAGTATGAAATTAAAACAAAACAACAAAGCAAAATCAACTATACACATAGTCAGGGGATACACAAAAACTAACATGACATCTAACATGAAAAATGTGGAGGAGGAGGAAGAAGGGGAAAAAAGTACCTTCAGATTGTATTTGAAATAGGGTAATCAGCAATTTAAGATAGATTATTGTATAGTAAGGAAGCTATCCTTGAACCTTTGGTAACTACAAAACTAAAGCCTACAATAAATACACACACACAATTTTTTTAAAAAAGAGAACTCCAATTACAACATTAAAGAAAATATATCGGTAACAAAAGTATAAGAATGGAACAAAGGAACACAGAGGAGCTATAAAAAACAAGAAAACAATAAAATGGAAATAAGTACATATCTATCAATAATCATACATATCTATCAATAATCACCTTAAATGTATATGGACTGAATGCACCAAAAGATATAGAGTAGCAGAATGGATAAAGAAACAAAACCTATATATATGGTGCATACAAGAGACTCATTTCAGACCCAAAGACACACACAGACTAAAAGTGAAGGGATGGAAAAAGATATTCCATGCACGTCATAGGGAGAGTAAAAAGAGGATTAGCAGTTGTTATATCAGACAAAATTGATTTCAAAACTAAGAAAGTAACAAGAGACAAAGAAGGACATTACATATGATAAAGGGATCCACATATGATAAAGGGATCCATAACATAAGCATTATAAATATCTATGCACCCAACACAGGAGCATCTAAATATGTAAAACAAATACTAACAGAATTAAAGGGGAAAATCGGTTATAACACATTCATTTTAGGAGACTTTAACACACCACTCACATCAACTAGATAGAAAATAAACAGGGAAACAGAGGCACTGACCAATATATTAGATCAAATGGACTTAACAGTTAACTACAGAACACTCCACCCAAAAGCAGTAGGGTACACATTTTTCTCAAATGTACATGGAACATTCTCCAGAATAGATCACCATACTAGGCCACAGAAGAGTCTCAATGAATTAAAAAAGATTTAATTCTATCAAGCAACTTCTCAGACCAGAATGGTATGAAACTAGAAATAAATTACACAAAGAAACAAAAAAGTCTACAAACACATGGGGGCTAAACAACATGCTTCTAAATATCAATGGATCAATGAACAAATTAAAACAGAAATCAAGCAATACATGTAGACAAATTAAAACAAAAACACAATAGCCCATAACCTGTGGGATGTGGCAAAGGCAGTTCTAAGAGGAAAGTACAGAATACAGGCTTACCTCACAAAACAAGAACAATCCCAAGTAAACAATATAACATCACTATTAAAGAAACTAGAAAAAGAAGAACAAATGAAGCCCAAAGTTAGTAGAAGGACAGATATAATAAAGATCAGAGCAGAAATAAATAAAATAGAGAAGAATGAAACAATAGAAAAAAAAATCAATGAAACAAGGAGCTGGTTATTTGAGAAAATAAACAAAATAGATAAACCCCTAGCAAAACTTAAAAGAAGAAAATATATACACACAGAGAGAACTGGAAACAAAGAAGGAATAATCACAATGTAAAAGAAAGAATGGTAAGAGAATATTATGGAAAATTATACTCCAATAAATTGGACAACCTAGAAGAAGCAGACAACTTTCTAAAAAATACAACCTTCTAAAACTGACCCAGGAAGAAACAGAAAATCTGAACAGAACAATTACTAGCAATGAAATTGAATTGGTAATCAAAACACTCCCCAAAAACAAAATACCATGTCCAGATGGCTTCACAGCTGAATTTTACCACACATTTAAAGAAGAGCTAATACCCATCCTTCTTAAAGTATCCCAAAAAGTAGCAGAGGATGGAATACTTCTAAACTCATTCCATGAGGCCAGCATCACTCTAATACCAAAACCAGACAAAGACAGTACAAAAACAGAAAATAATAGACCAACATACCTGATGAACATAGGTGCAAAAATCCTCAACAAAATATTAGTGAAACTATTTCAAAATTACATCAGAAAGATCATCCATGATGAGATGGGATTTATTCCAGGGATGCAAGGATGGTACAGTATTAATAAATAAATCAATATCACAGACCATATTATAAAAAGGATAAAAAACCACATGATCATCTCAATAGATGCTGAAAAAGCATTTGACAAAAGTCAACATCCATTCATGATAAAAACTCTCAACAAAATGGGTATAAAGGGTACATACCTCAACATAATAAACAGACCATATACGACAAACCCATAGCCAACATTGTACTTAACAGCAAAAAGCTGAAAGCTTTTCCCCTAAGATTGGGAACAAGACATGGATGCCCACTCTCACCACTTTTATTCAACATAGTACTAGAGGTCCTAGCCATGGAATCAGACAACACAATGAAATAAAAGGCATCCAGATTGGCAAGGAAGAAGTTAAACTGTCACTGCTTGCAGATGACATGATATTATACATAGAAAACCCTAAAGACTCCACAAAAGAAACTATTAGAATTAACTGAATTCAGCAAAGTTGCAGGATACAAAATTAATACACAGAAATCTGTAGCACCCCTTTATACTAACAAATTAGCAGAAAGAGAAATCAGGAAAACAACTCCATTTATAATTTCATCAAAAAATAATAAAATGTGTAGCAATAATCCTAACCAAGAAGTGAAATATCTGTACTCTGAAAATTCTAAGACACTCATGAGAGAAATTAAAGAAGACACCAATAAATAGAAATACACCCCATACTCATGGATAGGAAGAATTAATATTGTCAAAATGGCCATCCTGCCCAAAGCAATTTGCAGATTCAATGCAATCCTATCAAAATACCAAGAGCATTCGTCAATGAACTAGAACAAATAGTCCTAAAATTCATATGGGACCACAAAAGACCCTGAATAGGTAAAGCAATACTGAGAAGGAAGAATAAACCTGGGGGAATTACACTCCCTGACTTCATGCACTACTACAAAGCCACAGTAATCAAACAATTTGGTACTGGCAGAAGAATGGACCCATAAACCAATGGAACAGAATAGAGCCCAGATATAAATCCATACATATATGATCAATTAATAAACAATAAATGAGCCATGAATATACAATGGGGAAAAGACAGCCTCTTCAAGTATGGGGAAAACTGGACAGCTACATGTAAGAGAATGAAACTGGATTATGATCTAACTTCATACACAAGAGTAAAATAAACCAGAAATGGATCCAAGACCTGAATTTAAGTCATGAAGCCATGAAACTCTTAGAAGAAAACATGGGCAAAAATCTCTTGAATATAACAATGAGCAATTTTGTTCCTGGGCACATTTCCTTGGGCAAGGGAAACAAAAAAAAAAATTAACAAGTGGGACTATATCAAACTAAAAAGCTTCTGTACAGCTAAGGATACCATGAGCAGAATAAAAAGGCATCCTAGAGTATGGGAGAATATATTCATAAATGACTAATCTGTTAAAGGGTTAATATCCAAAATACATAAAAAACTCATACACCTACCTCAACACCCAAAAAACAGATATCCCAATTAAAAAATGGGCAGAGGACCTGAACAGTTCTCCAGGGAAGAAAGACAAATGGCCAACAGGCACATGAAAAGATGTCCCACATTGCTAATCATCAAGGAAATGCAAATCAAAATGACAATACAATATCACCTCACACCAGTTAGGATGGCCAACATCCAAAAGACAAGAAACAGTAAGTGCTGGAGAGGATGCAGAGAAAGGGGAACCCTCCTACACTGTTAGTGGGAATGTAAAATGGTGCAACCGTTGTGGAAAGCAGTATGGAGGTTTGTCAAAAAACTACAAATAGAAATACCATTTGACCCAGTATTTCCACTCCTATGAATTTACCTGAAGAAAACAACATCCCTGATTCAAAAAGACATATGCACCCCTATGTTTATCACTGCACTGCTTGCAATAGCCAAGATATAGAAGCAGCCTAAGGTTCCATCAGTAGATGAATGGATAAAGTTGTGGTACATATACACAATGGAGTATTATTCAGCCATAAAAAGAAGAGAAATCCTGCCATTTGCAACAGCATGGATGGATCTAGAGGGTACCATGCTCAGTGAAATAAACCAGGTAGAGAAAGACAAATATCACATGATATCACTTATTTGTGGAATACAAAACAAAGCAAAAGAGAAGAAATAGAACACATCAGATTCATAGAGATTGAGAAGTGGCCAGTGTTTACCAAGGGGAAAGGGTTAGGGGAGGGGGAGTAGAGGGGGATAATGGAGCACGATTCACAGTCACAGTATTAGTTGATCATAGTGACTACTCAACCACTGTGATGTACATCTGAAACCAACATAAGATTATATATTTAAACAATACTTCAATTATAAAAAAATATAAAATCATACTGATCATTAGTATGACCAGTTTCATGCCAATTAAAATATGTATAGTTCTCAAAAAAAAAGAAATTTGGAAACAAATTCTTTAAAAACTAACTCAAAAAAAAAGGAAATTTGGAAACAAATTCTTTAAAAACTAACTCAAAAAAAAGGAAATTTGGAAACAAATTCTTTAAAAACTAATGACATCTGCATGCATGAAATTCATGGCAAGGCTATGTGAAACTCAAGTAGTATGCATATCCCTGCTTCAAGGCCATTTCTTTTTCTAAAGAATATTCTTAAAGACCATTGTATGTATAGTGTTGAATCAACAAAATTACTTGAATTAGGTTGTCTTAAAAAATAGAAGAAACATAATGAAATAGAATTTTAGATATATAAGTAGAAATAGAAATTCAATTTTCAACTCGAGAGTCTGTCTTACTCAATGCTGTATCGCTAGCCCTACCTAGCACACACTAATTAGCACATTATTGGAGCTCAGTGAATCATGAATGAGAGCATATAAGCAAAGTAAATCTAAAGAGAGTAGAAGGGAATTAAGACAAGAGCAGAAACCAAATTAGAAAGACAGCAGAATTGGAAACAAAACTCTCAAAAGGACTGGTAGTTAAGAAATTCAGTTACACATTATTAAGATAATAAAAGAAAAAAAGTAAACCCAACAATAAAGGGGGGGAGATACAATTTTGTTTGAGGAAAATAGAAATTTAAATCACTCCTAGGACTTAACACAATTCCTTTGCAGTCCTACTTTCATTTTACCTAAGCTGAGACTTAACAGTAACACACCCAAGCCACGATTAATTATAAACTCATTGTGTACACTGTTCACCTTAAACCTCACTCCAAAATTTCCAATCTCTGTATTCCAGCCTACCTCTTAACACTGCTGCACATCTGTCAGAAGGAGCAAGGATCATAATAGCCTAATGAACCCCAATTTATCATAACCCCTTCAAAAACTATACTGAAAGTGTAGTTTTACTCTAAAATATAAAGATATTTCATATCTCATTTGTTATAGAAATAAAATGTATCTACCTCATGAAAATATAAATAGCAAGCAAGACTAGCATCCTCTTTAAAGCAAAGTAAACTCAACTGTCCAAAGCCACAGAAACCACTATTAAGAATTATGATTATACACATGGAGTAATTGTTTTCATTATATTGTTTTAAAGAGACTAATTTGGCATTTTCTGAATGCATATAATACCCTCGTCAGAATCGGCATCTTGGACTATGTTTTAATCACTAGGTAAAGTGCAAGACAGAACCAAGTCTTAACGGTTTACTCACTCTATTACAACATGGCCTATTTAGCTGATGCACCAAACTGGTTTCATCTGAGCCATAATCTCAACTGCCTACAGACATCAGGAAGAAACCTAAATGTGGAAGTAGACTAGATGTAAGATTAAAGAGTGATGAAAAGCACAGTCTGTTCTAAAGGCAATTATTTTTTTAATACTATAAGCCAAACAAAAACATATTTGGACCTCAATCTGGCCCAATCTACTGGGGTTGAAATTCTGCAATTATCATTGTTTGGTTTTCACAAAATATTTAACAGATTTAAAATCAGTATTTAACAAATACTAACTAGAAAAAAAATACATATAATTACAAGAAATACTTATTAGATGCTAATTAAATATTACTGTTGACAGAGCAAGTATTTGTGAATGAAGTTGTCTTACACTCTCCATGAGATTTCAGCAAAGTGATCAGAACTACATACAAATCTACAGCCCTACTTAATTTATTGCATAAAGAAGGAAAATATATTTGCTTCAGGTAAAAAGAATATTTTATTTTAATACTTTAATACTGAAATCAACTATCATACATATCCACCAACTCAATCATTGTCCATATCTCAGCAGATAGTCAGAATGAGATTAGTTTGATGAAGCTTTCTTAGCAAATTCTGGAATACTCTGTACTACATCTCCAAATTTAAGTCAGGTCCTTTAATAAGTTACTTCTTATTCACTGTTTTGTGGTATTTGTGAAATGAATTAGTGCAATACATCATGGAGGTACCATTTAAAAGGCAAATACCCTATAGATTTGGATTTGTCATCCCAATTCCTTGGCACTCAATAATATAAGCATCTTTAGAGGCATCTTCTTCATCATCTGACTTCTTCACAGTAAATTTAGCCTGAAACCAGAAGAAAAATATTTAGGATATAAGTAATATGAAGAACGATAGAGGAAAAAGCCCATAGCCCTAGGTTGTTATAAATAGGCAGGTAGTTAATATCAAACTCATTTTATTGAGGAAGCTAGAGACACAAAGATCAGATGACTCATGAGAAATTCCATAGCCTAGATACAAAATATTTTGCTCCAGAACCATAGTTCTTTCTTGTTCAGAGGTATACATACCTGTGGAGTTTTGTCAAAACAAACAGCCTGGGCCCCTCTCCACAGCTAGTGAATCAGAACCCCAGGAGTGCAGTCTAGGCCAATATCAACTTTAAAATCTCAGTCGTTAACCATAATACACTTTGACTACCTATTCCCTAAAATTTTTCTCAAACATGGCACTGAAGCATTTATACTTCTTTTATCCCATCAAATATCAAATTACCCTTTTATTTCCCTCAAATTTTTCCTGCCAATTTAATTCCCTAAAATACTACTAAAAAGATCTAGCTCAGAGAAGGTGGGGGTAGGTAATGATTAGCATCTTCCTTCATCTTTATTGGACTTATCACTGTATTTTTCACTTGTTAACTAATTAAAAGTTTGGCTTTGAAATATTTGATCTCTACCACTGGAATGTATTCTGGAAACACAATTTTTAAAAAAGCACATTTGTTCATTCTAACAAAACAATTAAAATCAACACAACTGAGGCCCCAGTCACTGAGCTGCCGCCTAGGACTCAGCAGCCTCCCCCTGGAATCCCCTTGCTTCCTCCGACCCCCACTTCCCAGGCCATTTTCTCTGAGGAAAAGGAATCATATCATATGTTGCTATCCAGAACCTCTACTCTTTCGACTCCTTTACTGATGCCAGTAAGGATGATGATTTGCTTCCTGCTTGGCACTGAGGATTATATCCATGTAAGAATTCAACAGAGAAATGGCAGGAAGAGCCTCACTATCTTCCAAGAGATCGCTGATGAATAGGAAAAGAAGGAACTAGGGAAGGCGTTTAAGAAGAAATCTGGCTGCAATGGTACTGCAATAGGGCATCCACAATACAGAGAAGTAACTTGGGTACAGGATGACCAACACAAGAACACAAGAGAGAGAGAATGGACAGGTAGACAATAACTGGCTAAGAACAACCAGCTGAAGGTTCATGGGTTGGTAAGTGCTTTTGGCTTACTGAAGCTGAAGTGAGGATTTCCTTGCAATGAATAGAATTTCCCTTCTGTCCCCTGTCACAAGTTTAAAAACCTCACAGCCTGTCTATTTTTAAATTGGACTAGTGTGAGTCCTTCATGCAATAAACTGACAAGAACATTAAAAAAATAAGAAGAAGAAATAGTAAAATCAACACAACTGAGAAGGTTGGCTGAATCTCTGGCAAAGGGATTTCAAATATAACTAAAATTTTAGGATTCTCTGAAATCCTAAAATCAATTTGAAAATCATCACTCCAGGGCTGTTGAATAGTAATATTCACAAACCATTCCAGTTTCAGTATTATGTGGCAGTGTACTGACACACAGTGGACATTTAAAATTATTGCTGAATGACTAAACACTGTATTTTGAACCAAATTGTTTATATAATTATACATATTTCAAATTACAAGCAATATGTAAATATGAAACCCAGGAATGGTTATGGAAATCTTTTCAAGCCTATATATAAAGCTACTGAAAACAATAAAAACAGACATGGAAGGAGGCTTAAGAGACAAGAGCATCGGTCTCTGACTTTATAGATTAATTATCATACCGAGGCACAGAAAGATAGAGCAGCTTGCCCCAAGACATTCAGCTAAACATGACCACGCTGAGTAAGAAAGCAGAGCTGTCACTTCCAGTTCATGGCACTTTCCACTATGTATTCACTTCAGATTACATCTGAATCTCTGCTATATGCAAACTATTATAAAAAGCAAGGACTCTAATGAGTAAAACTTGGTCCCTGCTATTGAGGGGATCACAGTCTACAAGGAAAGACAGACAAGTAAATGGTTACAAACACATCATAAATAGGACAATAAAAAAGTTATCTCTCAACACCAAATATAATTTGCCTTCAATTCCTATTAGCCTTTTCCTACAATTTAATCAAAATCTATCAATACTTTCTCATACAACAAAAAAAGTATATATTATTAAGAATTATACAAATAAACTTAGAAGTAGGGCAACAGAGGCTTTTTGCTTGGCACACTTCAGTAAGGCTTAATTTTAACTAGTGTACAGTATTTTTACAATTTTTAAAAATGCCTAAGGTCAGCACCTTACTTCACAGAATTCTGAGTTATAAATTTTACATTACCTTGTAAGTTATATTATAAAGACTACATCAAAATGGAAATATGTACATATTACTGAAGATGGCAAGAAATGAAGCTATACTCATTAACTGTAAAAATATGCAAAGAAAACAATTTTAAGAGGAGGAAAACACCTAAATGTCAACAGTGGTTTTATGGCATTAGGGAATTATGGGCAGGCTTTTTCCTCTATTTTACAAATTTTCTATAAAGAAATTATATCAGTTTCAGATGAAATATATATAGTATCATTTTTTAAAATTAAGAATCCTGCAGAAGAGGTATAAATATGAGTTTATATATTGTTAAATCCTTTCCCACTAAAATTGTAAATATACTATTCTTAAGTGAAGAGTACTGGTAAATGTTAGAATTTCAGCAAATATTCTATTACACCACTAGAATCACAAGAAAACAAAGCATTTAAAATTTATATAAATATTGAAGTTCATAGCCAAATATAAATCCTTCCTGATTTGATTTCATAGCTCCCATTGAAACATTTTTACTTACTTGCTAAGCCCACATAAGGGCTTTGATGCATACTCTCCTTGGCTTGCTCAATGCCCAGCCCTACCACTAAGAAACTATGTGGTTCTGAGCAATTAATTTAATCTCTCTGTGTCACTTAACTCATATGTAAAGTGTGAATAATAAATACTGCCTAAAATGGTTATGCAGAGTAGGATGATCCATACAAATTGCTCAAGTTTGCTCAGTGTCTGCCACACAGTGAGTGACAGCAATTACGTACTACTAAGTTTTCTTTTCATTAAAATTTTACCCAAAATTGGCTATAGTAAAAATCAATTACTCTTTCAGATGAAACACTCACCTTTGCTAATTGTTCAGCAAAATGTATAGCCGTTTGTGTATGGAGTGTAACTGGTCCTGTTTTTATTCTGGAAACTCCACTGGCTAATGCCATGAAAATAATCAGCTATTGAAAAAAGAACAAAGAAGAAAAATCTCACACATTTATTAATATTTGGAGCTAGAATTCTACAGCTTTCCATATGAAAATACTACTAGAAAACAGAATAGCTATAATAATTAATTTTTTTAGGTTTCTATAAGTCCTAAGAAAATGGTAAATACCTGTGTCATCCAAAGTCTGTGATGTGGTACAGAAATAGTTGTCAATACAGCATTTTTAAAATTAATGTTTAAGAATAGAGAATTGAAAGTTGATATATTCAATCAAACCAACTATCTCTACAAGCTAGTGTGTGTGTGTGTGTGTGTGTGTGTGTGTGTGTGTG